CAATGCTTTCGAAAGTGGAATCGTCCAAAGCTAGAATTTGTTAGAAATACAGGATCTCACTTTTAATATGGTGATGTAAACACATTCCTAAAGCATCGCGGTCTTGAATTTAATCTTATAAAATTAAATTCTATATCTGCCCTAATGTTTACACTGCGTTTATTTCAAAGGTATTGCAACTGAGCAAGAGATTCACCCGATGGTAAATAAAGAACGCTTATGGGCAGTCACATTATCGTTGACGTTTTATGAAAACCATTGAGTGTGGCCGGCTACCCCAGTCTTCGTAAGTAACGGATAATTTTGAATCCTTTAACTTCAACCTACTACTTAATTTATCATACCTATCTACATTGAACGAATATTTGATGGATCCGTGGCGCAGTTGCCAAGGTATTGGCTTCGGCGTCGGGGGTCGTGGATTCGATTCCCACACGGGGCAACTATTTTTGTGACCAACAGAAAGTTGTTTCGCATCAGGGTGTTTGTCCACGTGCAATTTATGTTTGTAAAATATCCTAACAACACAGGATAATGTTATCCTAAAGTAAGGGAAATGTTTTTGTAAGAATACATGTATTTTGTAAAGTACTATCAAGTGTCTATGTGTTTCTTGTTCAATGTATGAGAGTAATGAGACCATGATCACCTTAATTAGCTGAAAGAGATAATACTATTTCGGCTTTTTTTTTTGTTGACGTTGGGGAAATGCCTACGCATACCCGCCCTCGCGGGTGCAAGAGCGGTTTATGTCGGACTCGCACCGACTAAAACCCCCACGATATTACATCTAGGCGCATATCGGCAGGGTCACGGGAAGGCTTTCGCACACTTCCGCGACCCTGCCAGCGCTGGTCGACTTACTCCGTGTAATGTGCGCTGGAACATTCAGTGCGCCTTCCTACTCGGCCCCATTTTCACGGCCAACGAACTCCCCCGTGTTCGCTGACCGGGGCCATGGGAGCCAGGAGAGCCAGTGCTAATAAGCAGCAAGCCTCCCAGCCCCCAGCGGCGGACCTGGTCTGTGGCTCCGCCGCTCACCACGTTTCGGCCGCGGAGGATAGGGAGAACGGCGCACCGCAATACCGACACTCCTCTCCCCCCGCGGCTCCACCACAGCTGCATCAGCGGTGCAGCCCCGCCGAGTTGCGGAGGATAGGGAGCACGGCCAACGCAATACCGACACTCCTCTTCCCCCGCGACTCCTCCTCGGTAGCAGAAGACAGGGAGAGTGGCTCCACCTCTACCACCCTCGACTTGTCCCCTGCACCCTCCAGCACGCATCCAGAGTGGGCTCAATTAGCCCACTCGGAGTGGGCTCAATTAGCCCACTCGGAGTGGGCCCTCTCGGGCCGGCCTTACACCACAGGCCGGCCCAGTGTGGGTTCCTCTTAGCTTCGCCGTGGGCGACCAAGCCACGGCTACTAAGCCCCTCCGCACGTCAGGAGGCGGGGGGGACCCGGTCGGAGGGGAATACTGTTTCGGCTAGCCTAACCTAACGTAACCACGTTCGGCCATTTTAACGAGATCATTTGACCGATTTTCTTATGCCACCGACACCATTGCCACAAGTTGATGAATAAACATGTAATTCGTAGAACATCTTACACCGTGCGACATTTAACTTAACATAACATAATCGAATATATTTGCGCTGAGAATCGTTAATCAGCCGTTGGTTATGTCACTGGCCTTATCTTCATTTAATTCGTCATGCTAATGCGCGACATTATGAATGCGATAAACACATTTATGATGGTAATTATAGAAAACGCCGAATAAAAAGGGCCGGTGCTACATTAAGCGAGTCGGCATGCGACGTCAGTTGACTCTATTTGCATTGAGATTTCGAGCCTAGCGTCTTAGCGTCGGTGCGACGTAATTGCGTTTCAAATGTCGCCGACATTCGCTAATGAGCCGCAAGTTAATGAGTCATTTGCATTTATTAATTATTGGCGGCGCATTGATCCTGGTTGTCGGCGCGAGCCGCGGCGTCGCAAAACCTAGCGCGGCGTGTCACTTTTTCCCGGCAATAGGGGGCGCGGCACCAATTTCGCCGCCGACCGATGAATTATACATATGCACACACACTGTTTTGTAACGTCTTTCGTTAATTACACCGCGATGTTCGACCGGAAGAATGCTAGCGGACAAGTGCGAGAAAGTGCACGTTTTTTTCCTGACATGCTCGCATCGCTTGAGCCGGGCCGCCCGTTTGAGGTGTTCTGAAAGTCATTTGTCGCCGCCCGCGCCGCACCGTGGGGAATTTTTGCGATATCTGTTTCGCGTTTAGGGTCGAATGAAATGCCGTTAATGAGCATTACGTCACTTAATTAATCGCGCCAATACAATGTGTTGTCGGTTTAGCTGTGTACGCGGTGTTGTGTGCTTTGGGACTTTTCTAGTGAACGTAATTCTACCAGACTTGTGTCACTGGCTTCATTAATTAGTTATCTTCGTTAAATTTTCAGTTTATTTTTTATATTCGGTTTTAAATAGTAGTGATTCATTTTTTCGTAACAGCTTTTATCGTGTTTTTGTTGATGTTTAAATGATAGATTCAGTGTCTCCAAAATGCTTGCAACAAACTACTAGGCTTGTTACATTTTTGAAATAAAATTTTTGTCTAGGAGCTCTTTTTGAGATGTGGAATAACTCTTGTCTTCTAAGAATCGTACAGGTATTAGTGTCACATTATTAAAAATCGGGAAACACTCCAAACTCAAACGCACACAGTAATTAACTTATCATTATTATAGTTTAACGTCTTTTAAGGTGGTAGGGCCACGCAGCAGCCTCGGCTGTTGCACGAATGGGTAAGCCCATCCGGGTAAGTACCACGACCTCACAGAAGACCAGCTTAAAGTGGAGGTATGACAAATACTTTCGCCTTTCGTCTGGTGCGTGAGGTAGCCGGAGCCCAATTTTCAAAAGGTTGTCAACGCTTCTGTAACCCTCGGATTTGGCAGATGTCTATGGGCAATTTTGCGATTCACTTAACATCAGGTGAACCGTTTGCTCGTTTGACAAATTTTCACATAAAAAATTAAGTTGGAGTCAATACTTTTAATCTTCTTTAAAAAACTGTTCGCTTCTTCTTCTTTTGAGCCGTAATTCTTCATAAAAATACGAATTCTCGCATCGTTAACTGACGCCACATTTGTGCTGTGAACTCTTGAACAGCATTCATTTTTTCATCGATGAAATTATCAGCTGGATCGATTAATGACGCCAAAATTGATTGATACCTTTCATTTTTAGAAAATATTTTAATTGCTCTAACCATTCCTTCATTATAGAATGCCGCAGTGTAATCACAACCTGTGAATGCAGGATAAGCAGGTAAAAGTCTACCACATATTTCGGTTCCCAACTTTAATGCCAAATGGATGCAGTTAATGCAATCGAGGTGGTTCGATTACTTCTTAGTCGCTGAAGTAGCTTTTATTAGAATTCTGGAGCGTTGAAATTTAAATCTTTTAAATTCGGAAACCTTTATTAGGACCGAATTTTTCGTAGACAACCCTATATCAATGTATTCACAATAAAACAGCGCTTATGTTGATATAATTATTTTTCTGTCATCCAATCAGTGAAAGTAACTGATACCGACATACCTGTTTACACCTGGCAACCCAGTAGTTCGTCCAGGTAAATAATAGACAACCCAACGGCTGCACATTCTATATGTTTTATATCGCAAGTCAGGATAATTATTTTCTTATTATCTTGATGTTTCAACATTCCATGAAAAATCATTTTTTTTAATTATTAAAAATATTCTGTCTAGGATTTTTTTAGACAACCCATTTTTAATATATTTTTTAATATACTAAATTTATTATAAAATAAATTTTATTCTATTATCAGCTCGGTGAAGGTCGATTTAGGTTCGGATCTTCTACATTCATTTTATAATTAATTTTCCGAATTTCCCTAAATATCTCCGGAGTCCAAGATCTAATACTAATGAAAGAAGACCACATGGGAAGCACCAGCTTTATAATAAAAAATGAATCATCAAATCGGTTCACAGCGGTGAAGAAAAACATCGTGAGGAAACTGGCATATTATAAAAATGTATTTCGAAGATATGTGAAGTTCGTCGTGTGAAGTTCGGGCAGCGTGGTGGAATATGTCCTGAACCCACTGTACTGAGGAGGCCTTTGCCCTCCAGTGAGACATGTACAGGCTGATACTTTGCTACTTTTACAGGGTTCCAGAAAACCATACATCTAGATTAAAATATTAATTCTATTTAAAATAAGTATAAATCTACTTGCACATTTTAACTTTGAGTTTAGTCGCTTTGTCTTTTAATTGGGAACACGATCTTCAACTCGGTTTAAGATTGGATGGACGGCGAAAATCAGCCTGGAATGTATACCTAGTATGCGTAAGTACCTAGTATGTTGTTTCGCCTTCACAGCGGTCATTTACTAGTTTACAACGAACATTGGATATATTTATCACACTTTTGCAATTATGTTTGACAGAACGCGTGATTTATTTTATTTTATACTAGTGACGTGCATAATCTTCGCAGAAGAATAAAATCATCTACAGGTACAGTCTAAGTACAATCGCCTGATACAGTTAACCCACTTTTTCCACAAAGGTAAAGGAATCATAAAAAGCATAAAACATGAAACAGCAAACATTTCTATAAATGTTACAAACTGCAATTAAACATGCGGCAACATAAATAACGTTTACGCACACTTACATTGTCCGATTATAGTTATGTTTGTCTTTATTACTACGCCGCGATTTTAACGCTAACAGACTAAAGAAGTATCCTTGTTAGCAATGAGTAATTTATCAACGCGGGCTATCTATCAGTCTGAAAACATCAGGCTAACGAATCCGATTGTAGTGTACATGATTTACAGTCGCGTGCAATAATTCCTAGCGTTCGCCACAACTTTCCAACGGCACCGTTTCTATTTTAGAAATAACCCCGCCCGCACTGTGCGACAAATAGACGTACCGCATCCAAGATGGACGGTCTTGTTGTGAACACAAAGGAAAGAAATAAAATCACACGTAAACAGTCGCGTGTAGAGCGCGCGGTTGTCCACTGGAGCGGATCGCGGCGGGTAGAAATCGGCCAATGTGGACGCGCCATTTTCTCTAGAACGTTCTCGCTTCAGCGGCTCGCGTGGCCTTTTGCTCCGCGGCGGGATTTCCCGCACGGTGGGGCACCGTCACAGTTGGCGATGGTTTTCTCCCGAGCGGTCGTCCGCTACGACCCGGCCCCGCCCACCGTACGCCATGTTTACGGTTGCACGTCGGTGAGGTTTTTCGGAATGGTCCGATCGCACCGCGCACTGGATACGAAACAAAATTAATCGTCGGCAACAAAACATTTGTTCATAGACCGTAACCGTTTTCATCGTCACTACATAGTATAAAACAAAGTCGTCCGCGGTTTGTCTGTCCCTATGTATGCTTAGAGCTATAAAACTACGCAACGGATCTTGATGTGATTTTTTTTACTTGATAGAGTGATTTAAGAGGAAGGTTTATATGTACTTTAAACTCGTACGAAGCCGGGGCGGGTCGCTAATTTTCTATATGGAGGTTAAAGCAAACAAATCTCATTTGCACACGTGAAACGATCACGAAATACATTGAATCTGATGGATGGTGATCACGACACCTGGCTGCGACCAAGATGGAGTTGCAAATCGTAATTCATAGAAGTCTGTTCCACTTCTTATTTTAAAACATACGATAGTTTTTGAAGAGAAGAATGGAGACCGACTGATCTCTCTCCTACCGCATAATGGAAGATGAAGGGAGATTTTATTAATTTTAAGATCTGTCAATGTCGGATTATATTTTTATCAGACCGTTTATGTGCGTCTAACTCCCGGTTTCTGAAACACTGATCATAGTAGAAGTCAACTAATCAGCTGTCAATTGACTTTTCAAATGTTATTTAAGTTGCCAGAGGGATGGTTAAACTCTTTGAACTGATCAGAATGATCAAGTTAAAGAGTTTAACCATCGTTTTACTATGACTAGAAGTCACGATGATCAGTGTTTGAGAAACCGGGCGTAAGACTGGTGCGAGTCAATCAATCGGCTGGTGAAGCGTTAATGTACGGCCTGAAAGAAAAAGAAATCATTCAAAGTAAAGTAAAGTAGTTATTAAATTAAATCAATTTCAAAAGCTAACTAAAACGTGCGTGCGTCAAATACATCCATCAGGCATAAAACGCAGGGTACTCGGAATCCACGCCGCGCGACGCCAACGCGATAAAACTGAAATAATTAGCTGGCAATCATTAAGCCGTCGAATGCAAGACATCTTCACTACGACGGTTGGAGACGTTAATAGCGAAGGGGGAAACAGATGTGCACTCTCGTTTTTAGCCAGCGGCTAATCTAAAATTTAAATCAGCGTCAACGCCGGTATGTGTGTGTGGCGTGCCACTGCTGTTAAAGTTTAGCGATCCGAATGAGTACGCGAACGAAACGCGCACCTTTGCCAGTTCGTCTTCGAAATCGGTTCTCGCTGCGCCGTACGTCAAAACGGCATTCCCGCCATTTTGTCGTGACGTCACATTCGAATCTTAAATGGGTGGAATGCGTTCGAAATATTTTGTGTTTTGTTTTTTTTTTCGGTGTTCATGTTCGTCTGTCTTGTCATATTCGTTGTTTCTTTCTCCGGTCATATCAGAATAATAATAATTCTTAACATTAAAGAAGAAATAACATATTTTATTTTTTTTATGCGAAAAGTTGTCAAACGAGCAGACGGTTCACCTGATGTTAAGTGAATACCGCCGCCCATGGACATCTGCCACACCTGAGGGTTACAGATGCGTTGACAACTTTTTGAAAATTAGGCTCCAGCTACTTCACTCACCGGTCTCCTGTGAGGTCGTGGTACTTACCCGGACGGGCCTGCCCATTCGTGCAACAGCCGAGGCTGCTGTGTGGCCCTACCACCGTAAAACATAAATCAACCAAAATAATCGATATTGAACATCACACATTTAAATGTGACAGATTTTGTTTTATTAATACTGACGCCCTTAACGATGCTGCGTATAAAATGATCCTTTTATTATTAAAGCCAGCAACCCATGACGAATCAATAGTCGCATATTTAAAAGTGTAAATATTTCCATAGAAATAGCAAAACGCGTCAGTTGCCAAGCTTAAAGATGTTATTAATTAAACACCATCGCCTAACTGCGAGTTACGGGCAGAGCAAGCTATCGTCGGAATATTTCCGATCGCAAATACATCATCCAGCAATAAATAACGCTTTAAGAAGCCATATTAAGTCATTAAGGTTAGACAACCTTAACCAAAAAAGGGAATATCGTAACAAGCGCAGAGCAAGTAGAGACAGCGCGCGGCACTTGTTTAATTATATTCATAGCCCCGAAGAAACAACAAAATTGCGGTGGTCGAAGTGAACGATTAACCTTTAAGATAATATTGTGTTTCTTCGTTTCACCTGAACATGGAAATTAAATTCTTGCAACGTACGCGCTCGATCAAGATGCAGCAATCACTCCGTCGGTCAACTCGTTTATCAGCAACGGACATGTAGACAACAACATTTAATTATCAATATCGCTTTATCTAAGAACTTACACGTGTTTCTCATGCGTTAATTTTGTATTTTAACTAAAAAACAAAGTCATTACGCCCGTCTAAATTAGATACTCTTTCATATATTTTAACCGTAACATGAAGATCAGATGTCGCAAAGATTTTTGTATCGCAGAACAACAACAGCATTTTCCACTTAAACAGATTAGTTTTTATTAACGACCACAAAACAGCTAATTACAAAATAAAAGGTTTTAATTAACTTATTATTTTAACTTTAATATACCAAAAAAACCAAAAATCGACATGATGTGGGGCCAACCTCACGGTATTACCATGGCAACGAATAACAACTTTTTGACATTTACCTATAATTCCAAGTTATTTTAATAAACCGTTTTCAATTACGTTTATGTCTTTTTCCTAAATGAAGAGCACTGGCACAGGGGATAAAATTATTAGTTACTTGCGATCCGCCCCGGTTACGCGCGGGTGCAAAGTATTATACATATATACCTTCCTCTTGAATCACTCCATCTGTATGTATCAGTAAAAAAACCGCACTAAGATCCGTTGCACAGTTTTAACGATCTAATTCTTTGTATTACAGACAGACAGACAGACAGCGGGACGACTTTGGTTTATACTACTCGTATGTAGTGATATTTCTTTTGTTACGCTAAAGAAGTAGGTATGACTTCTTACGTGCGTACATGACTGCAGACATTATCTTTTTTAATAAATTATAATTTTAATAAAACCCTTAAAATGCTTTTACGTCCAAAATATTTATGTCATTAATAGTTTTATAATTTTAAGTAAATGGATATTTATATAAAAGTAGGGCCATGCAGCAGCCTCGGCTGTTGCACGAATGGGCAGGTCCGTCTGGGTAAGTACCACGACCTCACAGAAGACCGGCGTAAAGTGGAAGTATGACAAATACTTTCGCGTTTCGTCTGGTGAGTGAGGTAGCCGGAGCCCAATTTTCAAAAGGTTGTCAACGCATCTGTAACCCTCGAGTGTAGCAGATGTCCATGGGCGGCGGTATTCACTTAACATCAGGTGAACCGTCTGCTCGTTTGACAACTTTTCGCATAAAAAAAAAAAAAAAAAAGTAGTTATTAAAGTACCATTGTAATTGTTTTTGTGGAAAATCAAGTTAGTAGAACGTTCCAGACTGCTTATATAATATCCGCTATCATGGCCTGCCCATTTATAAATATTTCTACCCTAAAGTTATTTCATCTCATATAGACCTTGCAAGTCGGAAGTTGAACTGTAGATGATAATCGATTTTGTCTTTCATTTCTTACTTCGAAATGCATGAAGACTTGCCCCCATTAACCGAGCACTAAAGAATCAGTAATTTTACCGAAAAATGAAAGTTTCATTACAGTCGCGACTGTAAACTTTTTATTATTATAAACAGTAGAATGAAGCCTCGGCAATTATTTATCTTTTCTTTGTATTTATCGTATCATAGTATTATGTATTCTTCATACATTTTCTTTTATTTCGTTAATCTAACTTAAATCAATCAAAATGTCGTACATGCAAGTTATTTCTCGTAATTCCTTCCTCAGGTAGCAATTTTAAACAAATAGAGGCTATGAATTATTCAAAATATTAATAACTTAATAGTAAGCCGTAGCTGCTGAAAACAATTGTTCAAAATATTTGAATAATGCCTTATTTATGCCGGTGCAAGTGCAAAAAATTAAGTACAGGGTAAAAACTAACACCATTTGCCTCTATGCTATTTTGTATCATTAATGTATTAAATATTATTAAGTCATTAAAGTACGAGTTGGAAATACAAAAATTACAAAATAAGAACAAGAGTGCTTTTCTTGGTGGTTCTTGAGATATTTTCGACCAAATGATGAAATGTTTTATCTCTATCTTTAGAAACACAAGAAAAAAAAGAAACACTTGAGCTATTTTTTTTTTGTGAGAAAATGCCAATCGACCTGATGTTAAGTGATAATCACCGCCCATGAATATTTGCAACACGCGTAGGGTTGAAGATGCGTTGCCACCTTTAAATAAAGTGGGCCCCGGCTACCTCACTCACCAGAAGAAATGCAGAAGCATATATAACACTTCCACTTTACGCTGCTGTTCTGTGAGACCGTGGTACTTACCCGGACAGACATGCCCATTCGTGCAACAGCGAAATACTGTTGCAAAAATTATTTGGTAATAACTTCACTATTTATTTAAAAGACTATTTGACTACTGTAAAACTCTACTACTATATTGACTCCAAACTCTTATACCAGACTTACTGTTATAAATGATTATTCAAAATTAGTGTTTTTTAAAACTCGCATTATATCTTAAAAGACTAGAAGTGGGACGCAAAACTTTTACATCAACTCATGGCATTCCATCAGTTATTAACTGCGTTATGTTGAGACCAACCGTAGAATATTCCCATAACAAAATTCACATTACAAATTGCTAGCTAACAAATTTGATAAGATCCACGTGCAAAATAGCAGCGTATTTCACCAAGAGCTGGCTAAAACGGTTTCCTCTCCCACAAAGATATGAACATGCAAACCATGGAGAGCAACGCCCTTCCACCCACAGTTGTTGCTACAAATATCTAACGTTCTTTTTATGTATTGCAAGGTAAGAGTGAATTGGTTTTTACTGAGCTTACCATCATGCATCGCCACTTACCATCAGGGATGACATCAAGTGCTGGCCAGTTTTGAATTAAAAAAATGTTTGAGTAACATAAGTGTCTCATTATAATTAATCT